CAGCACTTTTGTATGAGGACTAGAGGAGCAGGCAGGAGGGATAGTCCAAGGACATATGAAGCCCAGAGTTCTTCCAAGAGGAACAGCTTGCCCACCCAGGATACATAGTAGAAGAAGAACCTGGGTTCTGCATTGGGGCACTAGTTCCCCACTATAGGCATCACCTAGTAGGACTGCAAGGAAAGGTCAGAGTGAAAGCACCAGCAAGAATTATAAGATAGTGCACATGTAAGTTATGGTCACATACTCTATTGCACATGCAGATGGCATGAGAGGCAGAAGACATCAGGGACTTGTGGCACACAAGGAAAACATCAGGTACAGAACCCAGGTCACCTGCTCCTGAGCAGTGCTATAGCCTAGACATACCTGAGAGAGCTGAGTGTCCCCAGGAGCCATGAAAAGCAGAGTAACTTCTGATCCAACCTGATGGGAATATAACCTAGCTCCCTTCCTTGTTCTAGGTTCTATGTGGTGGTGGTGCAAGAACAGAGACTAGAACCCACATGCTGTTTTTATAAGCCATTCATCTTGACCCATTCAGCAGTCCTTTCCTCTCTATGCCTTGTGCACAAATCAGCAAAACCAGAGACCATGAAAGAATAGAGCAGCCAGAGGCTGGGGGTTTAGCTCAGCGGCATAAGCACCTGTCTTGCAAGCAGGCTGTCGTGAGTTTGATCCCCGGTACCGATAAAAATGAAAAAGACAAAAAAAAAAGAATAGAGCAGCCAGTGGTATATGCCAGTAATCCCAGAACTTCAGAGGCTGAGGCAGGAGGATCACTGCAAGTTCAAGACAAGCCTGAACTACAGAGCAAGATCTTGTCTCAAAAAAAAAAAAGAAAAAAGAAAAAATGGCAGAATACAGCAGAGAAAAGAGGCCTTGAGAAAGAGAAAGGAAGAGAACAGAAATGATAGAAAAAATCTCACAGAGAAACCCCAGTGTGAAATACGTACAAGGCCTGCACTATACAACATCTCTATGTGAAGAGGCCAGGAGATTGCACAGAGGCCTAGATGGCAGGGCCTGCATGCTCAGCTGCTCATACTGAGGGCTCGGAGGCAGCAAGCGGGGAGCCAGCCCCCTTAGTTGCCCATACTGGCAGGTCCATTCACTCATATCAGATCCTCCCACTTGGGTGGTGGTCATACAGGTGGTGATATCACTATTGGGCTCTGTGTACTGCATCCGCATGGGCCAAGGGATTGATTGATAGACCGATCAAACCTCAAAAGGGCCTCAGGAAGGAGAGAATAAGAAATCAGGCATTGTGTGTCTGCTATGGTACCAAAACCAAGAGAGGAGGAGAGAGGAAAAGGGTGGGAAGAGAGCAAGGAGACTGGTATGGCATTACTACATGACAACTGAAATACTGTCAGAAGTCACAGCTTCTGTCTCCTGAGGATTGTAGCAGTGCTCCTGTGGCTACATTGAGCTTGCACATCTCAGGCCTTCACACACATTGTGTCTTCTTCCCAGGAAAAGTGAAGGTTTTCACAGAGGTGTCCAGTGTGAGAGGCAGGTAGGTAAGTGACAGAAAGGAATTTTTCCAAAAGGTAAAATAAAAGTAGATTTGGAAATACCACTGCACATGCTAGTTGAATGTGTCTGATAAACCAGGTGACACCTGATGTTCATGTTGATGCCAATAGTAGTTTCCTATGGTCTCTTGGAGCTGATTAGCTTCAGGGTGGAAGAATGCATCTTTTACTAAGCCGAGAGCCTCCTGAGCATGGCACTAGTGCACAGAAATGGTAATGGAATGAAGAAATGAACAAGCACAGACACCCCCAGCACTCCTAGTGCAAGCAAAGAGGCTCTCAGTTTATTTCTCCTCTTAATAGCCTCCAGGTTTTTTGAGCCTTCTCCATTCATTCCCTGTACTTTCCCTTCCACTTTTCATTAGCATCCTTTCTTCCCCTGCCCACCCATCTCACCCCAGCACTAGGACTGGAGGTTTGCTTGACAACAGGTAATAGCAGGCGTTTCCTCGTCCTGTGACAGGACATCCTGGCGCCCCATAGTCTCTCTCTGGCTTTAAAACAGACCCAAGTACAGGAAAAAACCCAGTTCTAAAATTAGCAGTGTGATAGAAGAAAGGCACATAGCCGCTCTCTGTACTGTTTGTCAATGAAATGAGTCTAAACAGGCCAAATGCATTTCCTTTTTGGGCAAAACAGACCTGTGGGTGATGGTCAGACACTGAGAAGCAAGGCAGCACAAGAAGGCAAAAGAAGCTAGCTGAACCACCCAAGCCCACTGCTGAGCACTCTGGATTTTTCCACTGGCCTCCACCTGTCTAAGGATTTTAGAACACAAACTAATCTAAGCTTTTCAGAAGTCATGCTGTCCTTGAAATACTCAGAGATGGAGTCTGATACCCCTGGACTCCCCCCATACACATACCAGGATAGGGCCCTAAGAGGCCTTTAGTGCTTCCAACCCAGACCTACTAAAAAAACAAGTCAGTCTTTGTTCATGGAGTACTTTTTCTCATTGTTGATTTTTTAAAATGATATTATTTGAGAGTAATATGCTATTCTCCTGAAACAAATTGCCTGGAAGCAGGCTGTCCATCCTGACATGCCAGACCCATAACACTTCAAATAGTTCTAGAGTCTCAGGGAGACATACTAAGAACTAAAGGAATCAATTTAATTATCCTGCTAGACAGAGTTTTGTTTTGTTTTGTTTGTACTGGGGATTGAACTCACGACCTCAGGCTTGCCAGGCAGATGCTTATGCCACTGAGCTAAATCCCCAGCTAGACAGAGTTATTTTCACAGTCTAGAACTGTTACCTTTTTTTTTTAAATACCATTTAAATGTCTTTTTAAACATAACTTTTGCCAGGTACAGTGATACACGCTTGTAATCCCAGCACTCAAGAGGCTGAGCCAGGAGAATCACAAGTTCAAGGTCAGCATTAAACTACATAGTGAATCCAAAGCCAGCCTAAAATACATAAGGAGACCCGTCTACAAAAATAATAACTTTTCCAGTGACATTTTTTTATTTTGTTTTTTTGAGATACTGTCCCACTGTATAATTTAAGCTGGCTTTGAACTCAGTATATAGCCCAGGCTGATCTCAAATTCACAGCAGTCCTCTGCCTCAGCCTCCTGAGTGCTGGAATTACACATGCTGTGCCACCACAGCCAGCTCCACTCATGTTTTTTCAATCTTCGATTTCCTTCTTGAAAGGATGGAATTTCAGGTAGTTTCACATACTGTTTTTAAATGGCAAAATGAGAAAAAGGCTTAATGCTAGGCTTCATTGGCCTAGCATTGAGCCAAAGATATGGCTTCATTGAGCTTCATTGGCTTCATTGAGCCAAAGATATGGCTCAATGGCACAGTACCTGCCTGGAAAACACAAGGTCCTGAATTCAATTTCTCGTACAAAAAAAAAGAATAAGGAAAACTGTTTCTCTGTTTTATGGCCCTAAGTCGGTGGAAGGCAAAGTGGTAGCTTTCCTAAACATGTCCTGTCTTTTGGAACATTTGTGTTTTTACCTTCAGTTGTGGAGGAAAGAAGACAGAATTAATCCTCTCTCACATTTCATATATTTCACTGTTTCTCAGAGCCAGTCAAAGCAGGCAGAAAACGACTCCATTCTGCATTTGCTTTAGGAATTTGCCCAAGTTCACTTCCACTAAGATGTGGTTCCACATCTCTTGCCACCAAGCACTGCTCTTCCACCAGAACTTAACGATGCTCCTCCCTCCTCTGACAGGCTTCGGGAAGTGACTTGCCCAGGACAACACTGTGTTCTATTCATAGTACTCAGGAGGCCAATTTCCTGACTCCCATCAGGGCACTTCCCAGCACATGATTACTTGTCAGCCCCATTCTGAAAATTGCATTTCCCAAGAAATATAAGTGCCCAGAACTTATTATTCCTAGAATGATTCACTTCAGACTTCCTGCCATTTCCTCTGTTGGAACCATGCATTTGACACTGGGATAGATTCCTGTTGTATGCCATGAAGAAAAGGCTTCCTGCAATCTAGCCCCAGTGACCAGACCAAGAACTGGTCCACAGACCAACAGCTGGCTTGCCCCCAGTAAGCAGCACAAACTTGCCACTTCTCCCAGTTGATCATGATCCTTTGAGCCCACAGGATAGACAGAGACCCTGTCTCATTGGGGGTCACAGGTGGATAGCTGCCATGGTTTTCAACACTTGTCCAGATCTTCCCAGAACAAACATGGATCATTTCTAACAGTTCTACCACTTTCTCCATTTAAAAACAGCACAGTGTTCTGCTCTGTCCCATTTTGCCCACAGGAGGTCCCACCTCAGCAGTGGGGAAGGTGTTGCACCCCAGTGTTTAGAGGAGGCTCTGCTCTTGGTGACCAAATGCTGATCAAAGTTGGGCTTCCTGGACTTAACCAGAGCCCTTACTCACTGGACTCAGAGAGGCCGTGTTAGGGTTGTATCGGTGTTAACAGCTAGGATAGAAGAATGGGTAGATACCCATACCTTCTCTACTCTTGGGCAGTATATTCTCCTCACTTTGTCTTGTACTACTCCTAAAAGGGGCCTGTACTGACCCCAGCTAGAACCCCTAGAAACTATGTTTACAGCAGAGCCCACACTGACTTCACTGCCATGCCTTGGCTGGGGGAAAGCAGGAGGCTGGGCTCTCCCACCTCTGCCCAGCACAGACTGACTCTGCCAGCTTCCCTATGGGGGCAGTAGAAGGACAAATTAGGATGATCCCAAAAGGCTTGGAAAAGCAAAGCAGGTCACCCTAGTGGCTAGAGCTTCTTTTCAAATGGAAAGGGGTAGGGCAGATCCAAAGCCAGGTGGTCACATTCTGTAGGCCTTGGATACCTGTTTCTCCCTTGATTTACCTTTAGCAGTGGATATGACACATGGAACCTGTCTGTGGCATGGTTTAGAGGGACAGCCACTAGACTCCCTTCAAGCCACCCTATAACACCAGGAGGTCTCAACAGGTCTTCCAGCCACTGTGACCACCCAGAGTACTTACTTGCCAACTGGAATGCAGCAGCCATGGCCTCCTCCCAGCACTGGGACTCAGGTGACATCAGAGTCAGACCCATCAGACCCAGGACGAAAGTGAGCTGACCCACAGCCAGCGCTGCTGTGGCTACCAGGTTGCAGGCACGCATCATGTCAAACTGTACTGTAAGGTGAGAAAGAGAGGGAAGCAGGTGGTGAGTGAGGGCAGGCCCAATCTCCACCCTCCAAGATAGCCCACTCCCCGTCTGGGTCTCTGCTAGGCTTTCTCTGGACAGAACCTTCTGGGAGCACTTCATTCCCCTCAGCCTCGTACTGCCTGTGTACTTCCCTGGTGTGTAGGGACTCCTCACAACTCCAACTTGGCTGCATCCCACTGGGGCCTGGGCCTTCTCTATGATTTCTTGTTGGAACAACTGTTCCACAAAAGCACTACAGAGTGGATTGAAAATGGGAAAAGGAGTTAATGCCGACAGAATAGGGTTCCCTGCTCCATGTGTCCCTCAGGGGTCCTGCCTTGGCTGTCTCCCAAGCTAGCCTTTCTGAGTCCTGAGAATTCCATACTGTTTCTCCTCCTTCCTTACAGGCTAAGGACTTGGACCTTCAACATTAAATGACTTGTCTGGGCCTCTTGGCATCAGCAAGGGACTGAGCAGAGGCCAAACCCAGGTCTGCTAAAACCAGCACCCATCCCCTCTTAACCTCCTGCAACCAGATTGGTGACTAAATTCACTCTATCTTTTCCTTTACTCTTCACCCTCACCGTAGCCTCCCAGCAATAGGACAATGAGCCGAGTGTAGGTGAGCTAAAGTGAGAGGGCAATGCCTTCAGAGCTTGCTGGTTGCTGGACTGGCTGACAAACTTGCTCTCTGCCACCAATACCCTGTGCAGAAGCCTGCACAAAGCCCTCCTGGCTTTTTCAGGCTCCAGTTTCTTCCTAAATATATATCAAGTCCTTTGTGCACAGAGGAACAATAGGAGATGTACAGTTTTGAACAACTCAAATGTTTGTATTTCTTGTGATTGAACAGTCATTAAGAGGTTCTGATTAAGAGGTTCTGAAAGTTAAATTGTTGAAAATAGTGACTCTTTAAAAATGCTAGTGTTGGGGCTAGAGATTTAGCTCAGCGGCATAAGCACCTGCCTTGCAAGCAGGTGGTCATGGGTTCAATCCCCGGTACCAATAAAAAGAAAAAAAAAATGCTAATGCTGGGGCTGGGGATTTAGCTCAGCGGCATAAGCGCCTGCCTTGCAAGCGCACAGTCAAGAGTTCAATCCTCATTACCCATAAAATAAAAAAAAAAAAATGCTGGTGTTGGCTGGGGGGTTGGGGGTAGCTCAGCGGCATAAGTGCCTGCTTGGCAAGCACGAGATTATGAGTTCGATCCCTGGCACCAAAAAAGAAAACAGTGCTAACCTTGAAGTTTCTAGGTATTCTTTCAAAAGTTTGAAAGGGGGATTTAGCTCAGTGGTATAAGCGCCTGCCTGGCAAGCATGAGGTCGTGAGTTTTATCCCTGGTACCAGAAAAAAACAAAAGTCCACCAAAAGTTTGAAAGAGAAACAGTTGATCTTTAAAATTAGATAACTGAAAATGTCATCATCACATGTGTAAGAGCCAAGCAAGAACTAGCAAATCTTAGAGTCCTAAAGGACTTTTCTCTTGGATGATTACTGATTGTCATTTTGGCTGAAATTGGGGCAGGAGGGTACCCAAGGCTCGTGCAGTTTTCGTACCTGAATAGGGCCAGCAAGAAAGGCCCAGCTTGCAGAGACTTGTTAGGTACTCAACCTGCTCCTCACAGATCATTGATGGAAAGTCAGAGTGGTGGGAGCAAGTTGACAGTGGTCTACTCACACATGGGTGGATGTGTGTGTCAACCTTGGCCATAAGTGATAGTTTTCAGTGAATGGAGGAGGTTGGTTATTTTACCACTGTGAGCTCCTAAGTGGTTGAGAGGTTTACTTGTGTGCGTGTGTGTGTGCGCGCGCGCGTGCGTGTGTGTGTGTGTGTGTGTGTGTGTGTGTGTGTGTGTTGCTAGAGACGGAGCCCAGAGTCATTCCCACTGAACTACATCCCGGTGCTTTTTATTTTTTGATTTTGAGATAGGGTTTCATTGAGTTGCCAGGCTGGCTTCAAATTTGTGATCCTCTTGCTTCAACCTCCTGAGTAGCTGGTTATTACAGGGATGTGCCATTTTGCCTGGTTTGAGGTGTTATTTTGAACTGCTTTTGCTAGTATCAGCAGTTCTATAGGGTTCTGCCTAAATGTTTATTGACATGCAGTATAGGTTGACAATGGCTCAGAGCTCTCAGCTCAGCATTAGCATCTCTTCCCATCTTATGCTAGGCCCTGTACCCTATGCACACAACAGGTAACTCTACTCACTTACTGTCTTCGTTCATCTAACTGTCTCTGCTATGGCCAAGCCTTTGGCTCCCCTCACCTGCACACCAAAGGCAGACCTTCAGGCTGATGGATTACCACCTAAAATAGGATAGAGCTTCAAGAAGGTATGCAGGCCTTCCCAGGTGTGATAGCACATGCCTTAATCCCAGAACTCAGAAGGCTGTAGCAGGAAGAATGTTGTGAATTTTAGGCCAACCTGAGCTACATACTGAATTTAAGGCCAACTGCACTACATAGTAAGACCTTGTCTCTAAAGAAATAAATAGATAAATAAATTTTTTAAATAAAAATTAAAAAGAAGAAGAAGATATGCAGACCTTAAGGTAAGAGCCCCCAGGCCTCAGGATTGTCTTCCAGCTGGCCAGAGATACCTGTTCACTTCCTGGCTTCCACTTTGCTCTTGGAAGCAGCCATGTCCAAGGCCTTCCTCACTACTCAAATCACTGAGAGAAACTGCAGGAGAAACTGCAGGGGCATGAGCATTGAACATTTATTTAAAGCCCCATGCATGAAGTGTGGCCTCCTTTCCTTCAGGTCTTTCTTAGACCCCTAAAGTAGCAGTAGGAAAATTACCCTACATGAATAAAGCAGGGACATGCTCATGGGGCACTGTACCATAGAATCATTGTTTGTTTCTGGCCAAGGCTCTGTAGGTCTTCAGTCACCTGTCTTCAGTCAAGTTTGGGTCTGTGGTTCATGCTTCTCACCATCTTGTCTGTATTTAGGCTGTGAAGTGCCACTCTTTCATGAGTTTTGTGCTACTTCCCACCACCAGGAATTTGCCTGTTCTGCCCATTGTGTTTTGAGATGCTTCTTCTATGCTGTCTTCTTCTGTCATTTGGATCTGGAGGGGCCATTCCCATATCCTAAGATTTTCCAGCATTCCCATTCCAATCTGGTTTTGATGTAACCAGCTATGAGGCCAGTAGACCTTATGTATACACTGCACATATAAGAGCTGTGTGAGTTAGTTATGGTGACATGCCTATAACCTCAACATACTGGAAGCTGAGGCAAGAGAATCTGAAAATTGAAGGCAGCCTGAGTTTGGACTATATAGAGACCCTATCAAGAAAACAAATAAGCAAACAGAAGAGCCACATGAGGACCTTATACTGTTAGACAACAGTCCACACACAGTGACCCAACAGATATGCCACCAGATAAAGATGGGAGCTTCTGGATAGGACAACAGTCACCACTTATTGGACCCTTTTGCTTTGCTGGAGGACCATGGCATTGCCTCTCTCCTCAACTTTAGTAAAGTAGGCTTCATTCCTCAGAGTAAACACAAAACATGACTCAAGTTTGCTAGAGACCCTCACATACCTGTATGATACTTTAGAAAAAGAAGGGACACAGACAGGCTGAGAAGAGACTGGTCTGATTGTCAAGAAGCTTTTAGCACAGAGCTGTCAGGTGAACCTATCCTCCCTGATCAGATCACACCTACCAACAGATAAGTATGGCACTGGGATCCAGAATGGTGTGGAGAAAGTGGAGGGCAAAGGGCTAGAAATGTAAAGGATAGTAGGAGTGTTTCTTGAGCTGTGATGTGATAGTCTTGTGGCATGGGACTCACATGCAGCACTGTATGTCTCACTGAGGCACAGGACATAGGGAACTGAGGCTAAAAAGTCCTCATCTGCAAGACTGAGGAAACCAGGGCAGCTGGGGCTTAGGTCATTTTGTCAGATCTTTCTTGGCTGCTTACACTGCTTCCCAGCCAGCTCTGACCAGTAATCACATGCTACATGCATGAGGCCCAATCCAGGCTGTCAAATCTGTAGGTGGCTTTGTCCACATGTTAAGACTGTTTGCCCCAAAGACAACCTGGAAAGTAATATGTGACCATAACATGAAGGTTGGTGTTCTTTATGATGCTGCATAATCTGTACACTTAACATTTTTTATAGTCACTTTTGCCATGTATATGACCCTCCAGAGATACTGCTACTTTAAAAGATGGTGGAATTGGAGAGGTGTTAAAATGTGGAGTGTTGACAGTATAGAACAGCCAAGCTGGCATTTCAGGCTCATTCTAAAAGGCCAAGAGAATCCTGAATAAATAAGAAGGAACTGGGCTTGTCAGGAAGAATGTGGCATGAGCACCTCCGTGTATGGTGTGTGGTTCAGAGATGCCAGAAGACTATGCTTCCAGAGCCAGGAAAGCAGCTCAGACCAACCCCTGGCCAGTTCTGCCCTTGTCCTGATATCCTATCCTCCTCTTTATCTTTATCTCCTGCTTTCCTGGCTGCTTCAAGCATGCAGTACTGTGCTATAGGCTTGGCAGATACTCTGAGAACTAAGCCACCTCATAGGCCCTCCATGTGGTCCACTGCCTATGGACCAGTACAGGGACTATTCCATGCTCTGCATGGAATCTCCCTCTCAGCCCCAATCCCATCTAGCCCAGAGGGCCACTGGGACTGTCATCTATTCCTGTGTACCCTAGATGGTCCCTTTGAGAATGTGGCAAAATATCTGGCCAAGCAGAGGGTCAAGCCAAATGCCCACCCAACCAGCCTGTCTGGTCAAGAGTATTTGATGTCTTGCATGGCACAAGGATATATGAAGATGCTCAGGTCTTCTGAGAGCAGGAGTGTCTCCCTCTGAGACAGTGCTGGAGGGAAGCTCATCTGCCCCCAAGGTTTGATTATGTGTTCATCTGTTGTTGCTAGCTAGGCCTGGGACTTTGGATGTCTGGCAGAATGTGTGAACTGTAGGTCACAAAATGAATGTGAAAGATGACAGAAAATGAGGACCAGAGAGTTGAGACTAACCCTGGACTCAGGTATTCAGGTGGACCCCACATTTCTAATTCCCCACTTCTCATAGTGAAGAGAGCCCCTGGACAGTGATAAAAGCCTGGATGACCACAGGGTGCAAAATGGCCAGCTGGTGGAAAACTGTCCCACCCTCTCAGGCCATAGTCAGGGTAATGACACAGTAGTACGGAGCCTGGACCCAGACAAATGTTGAACTTAGCCCATGACCCTTGACCCAGCACACTCAGAATATCTAATAGCACAGAGCACCCAATCAGAGTTCAGAGAGTCATGATATGGCCCACATGAATGTCCCCTGGCCCTTAAGAAGGGCCTTAGGTCACAGAGAGCAACAAATGTCCCTTCCAGGTGGTCTATGGTGATGTCTAGAGACTCTTAAGGATATCCTCATGCCCATGAAATACACACTATGCATTGCATGACCTGGTGTATACTCCCACTGTGCCCTAGATTGGTTCTCAGGATGGAACCTGAGTACCCAACACAACCTTGAGGAAACACAGCCCTGCAACACTGGCTAACGTGCTAAACCTTGTGTGTTGGAGGATTTCATAAAGAACCACAGCTCCATGTGAAGGAAGATGTTAACCCTGAGCTGCCTCCCTGTCCAGAAAGTATTTTCAAGCATTTTGTCCCTTCTTGGAGAGCTGATTTCAAGACCCACGTGGACTCTACAGGGGAGCTGTTGCATGAGTGCTCTTATTGCTGACCACAGACATGATTTAAGGCAGCAGTAGGTGACTGGCCATCTGTCAGACTGGGCACATGGGAGCATGTGGATTAGAACAGTGGGTTTATCACTAAGTGGGGAGGAGGCTTCAATGCTGAGAGCAACACATAAGTCTGCTTTGGAGTATTTGGCACCAGAGGGAACAAACTTTTTTTTTTTTTTTGTACCGGGGATTGAACTCATGACCTTGAGCTTGCCAGGCAGGGGCTTGTGCCACTGAGCTAAATCCCCGGCTCTAAAGAACAAACTTCATTGAGGGAAGAATATAGGAAATATCAATATGGTTGCTTCCCCCTTGAGACCACTGACAAAGAACTACATGGCTCATGACCCAAGCCCATGGATTAGGATCTGCAGTTTCCCCTCAGGAAATGCTGACTTATAGCTAGCTACCTGTTTGTATCGTGTTTCAGGCTCACTGTTTGTTAGTTTTGTTAGCAACCAAAATTGTCTATTTAGCTTCTTGTTTCCCTAAGCTCTGTCCCATCTGTCATTCCCAAGAAGCTTTCATTGTCATTTTCACTGTTTGAACAAATAGTTGTAGCTTAAGTTCATTGAGGGTCTGTTACCTGCAAATGTCTATTAACTGCAGAGGGCTACTTAAAGAATTACCCTAGGAGCTTATGAGATGTTTGGAGCAGGGCAGCAGATTTAGGGCAGGGGGAGCTTTAAGAGCTTCAGGCAGGCGGGTGAGCAGGATACATGAAACAGCCACCATATGATCACAGGGTCACAGGCTGGAAGAAGCCATGAGGGGCCCTATGTATCCCTTTGTCCTGTAGTGACAGACTACCAAAAAGGGAATACAGCTACATAAGATGCTCTAGGGCTACACTGCTTCCCCTAGGACTACTCAGATGCAAGAATTAGGGAAAGGGAAGTAGTACATATTTTCAGCTGCTAGGAAACATACGGGCCATCAGGAGGCTTTGAGGCCCAGGACAGAGCTAAGCCTGACTGGGACTCTCCCCCAAGGTGGGCAGGCCATTGCTGGACCCAGAGCACAGAGAAATTCCTGGGGCTGTGTCCTAGCCTCCTGATCACCAAGGCCTTCAGGGCAGTGCAAAGCCTAAGCCCATATGGGAGGCTTCGGCAGAGAGCCATGGGGTTCCTGGCTTCCTTCTCAGTCAAAATAATAAAATTCAGAGAAAGGACTCTGCTGACTCATCACATAGAGACCCAAGTTCAGCTCTGTTTATCCAGCTTCCCACAATACCCTGAGTTCTGATAGCTTGTGGAAATGTTCATATGCTTATATCTTTCTCAGAAGGTTATTGCTCCCTGTCTATGGAGGACAAGGGAGGAGGCCTTCCAGGCCTTTTGCTCACCTTTATTTCTTTGCCTGTGAAATAGGAATGATGTTCCCCAACCCAAGCTCTAAGGACAAGGGCAGGGCTGCCAGGTGTCCATCATATACTGCACATTACTCCAGGGTAGCCCAGATTCCCTAGATTCCCTATGAGCACAGAAAAGATACCTCTCCTGTGCCTCATGTTTCTTAAAGAGCAGTGTTGCCTTCATCACAGGAGCACCCTGACCTGAGACTTGTGTTCTGTAACTAGGGTGCCTGTAAGTCAGGCTGCCATAAGCAGTTTTAAAGAGCCATCATCTAGGGAGAGCTTCATGTCAGTAAATGTGACTGTCTCAGGTTATATATTAGGTTATATGTCTTCGTATTTGCACCTTCAAACCTAACTTAAAGTCAAATGTCCAGCTTCCAAGAGTATAAACAGACCTTAGGACAGTAAAGGGGACACTTTGCCCATTGCCATCAACCAGCCTTCCGTGGTCCCTTTCTGTACATCCCAGCCACTGTTAGTCCACAGAAGTCTCCCTGCTCAGATCCCTAAAGGGCTCTGGCCACCATGGGTATGAAGTTAGACTCAGTCACGTATTCTTACTCTTTTGTGTTTATTTTGCTTATTTAACATTTATTTTTAGCCAAGGAGAATCTTCTCTTGATTTGCTTATTTGTTCATTCTTAAGCTGTGTGTAACATCAGAAAGCCCCCACAACATAAGGTGACTTTCCTGCAAGAGTATACAGAGGCAGTCTGGGCTGAGCAGAAAAAAACATGCAGCCTTGCTTACAAGTGTAAGGGTGGGTGTGGGCTTAGATTCCCTGTCCCCTGCTGACCTGGGCAGAGCCTCCCCTTACCCATCCTCTCAGAAGGTGATAGAAACATAAGCAGACTCACGTTTGACAGTGCCTCGAGACTCCTGGAAACCTGCTGACTCCGAGCCCCAGCCCAGCACCTCGCAGTCCTGTGTATCCACCTGCCCAGTTCTGGTCCCAGAACTAGGGCTACCCCGGCCCCTGTCCACCAGCCAGCAGGACCTCCACAGTCCCACACTGCGCTTGCGCCCATCCTCCAGTGTCTGGTACACCCAGTTGGGAGTGAAGGCAGCCGCATTATTGAGGATGAGGGAAGCCAAGGCCACCAGCACAGCTATGGCCACAAGTTTCTGGACAGTCATAGCTGACTGCCAGTGCTGTCCATTTATCTCGGAGAGAATTCCAAGTCCCAGTCAGCTGCTTTGCATCCAGGGAGAGCCACGATGTTACTAGAGGCAGCTAGAGAACATCACCGCTCATTCTCAAAGGCAGTATAACAGTTATCACCAGGCACACAAAGACAGCAGCTATGTAGGGACAGGCCCATGGGACTGATCCAGGTGAGCCGTTCACGGCCCTGCCTTATCCTCCCTCCTGCACCTGGAGTAAGGCCAGGCCTGTGCTGAAGCCAGTCGCTGCGAGGCCCATCTTGGGGAAGAAACGGAGGCACCAGCGAAAATCCAGAGTTGTGAGTATGCCGTCTTTCTGGGAAACAGAAGCTAAGGAGACCACGAACATGCACCTCTTCTGCCTGCAGCAGTGGAAAACAGAAACTAATTCAAGAGGCAAGCACAGTGTAGAAGTTGGACCAGTCACACTCCTTAGAACCTGTTGAGGGAGGTGCTCTAAGCAGAGCCACCAGAGCAGTGCAGGTTCAGCCACCTCTCTGCTGTCTGGGCCCTGTCCTGGAGCTTCCACCACAAGCAGCAGGTCCTGGAAAGCAGAGCGCCTGCTGCAAGGAAGTTTGTGTGTGTGCGTGCATGCGTGTGTGTGTGTGTGTGTGTAAGCTCGAGTTTCCCTCTGTCTCTCAGCCAGAGGAAATGGTTGTTTTTGAGGCTGTTTTTGGTGAGGGGGAGGGCGTAGCCAACTGCAACAAATAGCAGTCCTGCCACAGAGCCAGACACTAACAGGATGTGTTTCCTGATGGGAAAGGCCTGGGGAGACTTCTCAGGCCTGCTCCACCCCCCACCAAACCCCCTTCCTGCCTTCCTGTCCCAGAGGAGAAGCCAGGTATGCCAGCTGGGACACTTGGCTCACCTGTCAACTTCTAAGCTTGATCAGTTGCTGGGCTAGGGAGCTGCGGATGCCACAGATACAATAGCCAGTCAGGATCCTGAGGAACTAGGTAACCAGCCATCCAGGCATTCCTTCTATGCAGTAGGTACCATGAGCCTGTTGTTGTATCAGAGCCCTTCCTTACAGGGATTCTGCCTTCAAGTGGTGACTTGAGTGCTGGGAGAGGGTGGAGCATAGTCGAGTAGCTCTGCTTAGGCAGGCTATTGCTTGCCAATGGAAAGTCACAGGCCTCAAGGGAACAAGTGTGCCCAGACCCAACAGGGCAGGGGCTCCTTTGAAAAAATGGCTGGGGTTGACCTTGGAGTAGCAAAAAGGAGTGGGATTCTGGACAATTTAGGGTGTGGCATCTTGCAGGCCCTGAGATAGAGCATATGTGGTTTCTGGCCAGCCATAGTTCCTACTGCTATGACAGTCACTCCTTTGAGTCCAGACAAGAAACTAGGGCTGTAACTCAGTGTGCTGTTGTGCTGCTAGGCAAAGATGAAGCTACCAAAAACTAGAACAACTCCATTCTAAGAACCTTTCAGTAGGATAGACATTGCAGGAAGGTTTGATGCTCCATGTCCATCTCCTGAAATGCTGACCCAGTATAGGGTTACCACCCTACCAGGGCTTATTAGAGACACAGGTGCCATATTCCATCTACACTGTTCTCAAGTTCAGGCACCCAAGATATTATTCAGATACAAAGAGTTCTGTTGTCAGCTGGGTCCTGGGTAGTTACAGAACAACCTTCTGATCTCTTCCTGTCTTTGTGCACTGCCATGCTGAGCCCTAGTCAGGTGGCTGCCCTGAATCTCACACCCCCTCCCATTTCCTGGGGTCACTATCTTGTTCAGATGTGGCTCTACATGTACAAATTGATGTTCCTGAAAGACCGGAACTCTGTCTCTGACCAGCACTGGACCAGTCTTTGATTGTGAGAAACATTGTCTATCAATTCCCTGAGGGGATTTATGTACATATGTTAGGGTCTTTCCTGCTGGAGATTATAATGGATATCTGGCACACTTCTTTCTACTTTCCCTTCTTCAAGAAAGTTGGTGTTCTGTCATGTTATTTTGTTCCAGCCTCTTTGTAATCAAGTTTGGTACTAGAAATTTGCCAAAGAGTGAAGAGTACCATGGTGCTATTGTCCTCCTGCTTACCCCATGGCTCAGAAGACCCTTGGGGAGGACATCTGTAGTCATTCTGACACACACACACCAAACGTATTTAGAATTCAGCATCTCCAACACTCAACATCCCTAAGCACACAGAGCAGCAGACACCAGTTTTCCCTTAAGTTTCTATTAGGAGAGATCAGTTTCCTCCCTAATTAAATCATTCTTTATTTAGTCTTTTTTTTTTAATAGAGGGTTTTTGCTATGCAGTTTAGGCTAGCTTTGAACGCACTTTGTAACCCAGACTGGCCTTGAACTTTCAGTAACCTTTCTGCCTCAGCCTCCTGAGTGCTAGGATTGCAGACATGCATCACCACACCTGGCTATTTATTTATTTTGGTACTAGGGATCAACCTCCTACTTGCCAGGCAAGCACTTATGCTGCTGAGCTATATCCCCAGGTCCTCTTTAGTCTTGTATGGCTAATTTATAGTAAGGAACAAGCACAGAGTTTTTAAACCCAGAGGATATAAGACTGTCCCAGATATAGCCCTTGAGCTAATCCACTCATCCTTTTTGCACCTGAGGGAGAGATGAGGCAGGAGAGGGCAAGGCCTTCCTTCTATTCATAGAGTAGCCAGAGGTATCCTCATGCATCCTAGGTGGCAGGACCCATGTTGGCCTCCCTGCACTTTAAGGGCTCCATCAGTCCTCCACGTCCCTATGCTTTTAGTATGGGAGGCTGGGTACAGGAGAGCAGTGAACGAAAGAGCAGAATTTAAGTTAGGAAGGGCTCTTCTTGGGGTATAATTCTGTCCTCAAGAGTATCTGAGACTCTCATGTGACCACTTGGTACAGGCACACACTCAGCAGACCTGAAGCCAGGCTAGGGACCTCCAGTCCTCCATGAAGTTGCCTTCCTAACCTTCCTGTTGTTTGCTTGCTTTGGTTGTACATGTGGTTTGACTGTGACTACTCCATGTGTGTCTTTGCCCATCTGGACAAACAAGGAGTATCAGCCAGAATAGAGAAACAACAAGAACATTGAGCAGTGGCAAGTATACTGTAGACAGTACATAGGTACCAGTTCCCTACTTTCCTGCTGTCCTGACTCAGGACATGACCAACCAAGCTTCTGCAGAACTCAAGTTCTTCCAGAAATCAGGACCATCTTGAAGCTGTTCCCTCCTCCTCCACAGCATCTGCTTCTCATTTTAGGCGCCTGGGAGCTGATGAAATGCAGATGTGATTGCTTTCCACAGACTGGCTTAGACAACAGGAAATTCTCAAGATTTGGACAGAACTGGGGAGGGGATCTGCTTCTTGGAATGCATGTCAGATGCACAAAGCCCAGAACTTCACACTGGAGTTAGAGCTGTTCCCATTCTCAGCAAATTGTGTGGGAAAAGAATGCCAGGAATTACATTGTGGGCTGAGACCATCCTGGGTCAGGAGAAGGCAGTTGCTGAGAGTACAGCATAGTTTTGTGGAGGAAGTTTGAAGCTATCTGTTTGAGTCTAGACCCTTCCAGCTGAAAGAGGGGCATTTCCTTCCCTGTAGTTTATGCACAAGGCTGCCCTGGAATTTGAGAGTCCTTCCCAACTCAGTCTGCCTGTCTGGGGGCTGCACTTCCACTGCAAGCTTTTCAGAACCCTGACTTGATGGAGACTTTCATTCCTAGTGGAGATCAGTGTGTCCAAATAGCAAAGCATCTCAGTGACATTGATGGATCTTTGTCACACACACAAGGCCGGGGGCATAAAGTGACACCAAGCCAGATGTCCAGGCCTCTTGTCTCTCAAATACTCGTGAAAACCACAGCTTGCCAGTAAGAGAGCAGGCAAATACCAGCCAGCTCTGCCTACTCAGTTCCCTGGTCACTTTGCTTACTTAGGTCTTTTTCTGTGATTGGACACAAACAAGCCTTCACTGTCACACAAGGCAAAGGAAAGCAGACATACAGAGAGGCAGTGAGCAGGCTACGCTTGATTCCCTGTCTGTCACCCTCACAATGGATCTTCAGGAGACAGTTAATAATAAGTCTTAGCTGAGCACTAATATCAGCACTTGGGAGACTGAAGCAGGAGGATTTCAGTGAGTCTGAGTCTAGCCTGGGTCACATAGTGAGCATAAAAGCCAGCCTGAACTACAGTACATAGCAAGACCTTGTCTCAAAAAACCAAAATGGTGCTATTCGTAAAATAAATGCACATGCCCCACATGCTCAGCTTGCGCAGCAAGCCTGGGAGGGTAGCTATGAACTCCAGCATACTGACAAACCTAAGCTACTCACAGAGACTCTGTTCTGTACATGAACACGCGTTTTATAGAGCCCACCAAAGCTATACATGAAACTGAGAATTTCACTTGAGATTCTGAACTTAATACTAGATCCCATTTGCTGTTACTAGCTGAGATCTCTAGGACCAATGATGTCTTAGAGAACGCTTATGCCTTCGGTTGACACATGTCTCATGAGATCTTGGCTGGGGGCATGGCTTTGTCTGGGCCAGTAAGAGACCATTGGCAGCCTTTCCTCATGCATTCAGCTAGCATCTCAGGATGGAAGAGAAAAACTAACTTTGGATTTCTGCTTTTTTAAAGAAAAGTGTTTAAATGCTAAGACCAGGATTTTATGCCTTAAGCATCTTGGTAGCCCTGTGCATTGACAGATTGTTGAGGGACAAGAGGGTGGAGGACTGGAGTGCTAGACTGAACCCTTACAGGACCCTGTCTCCTCTCTCTGCAGTGAGCATGTCTGGGAGAACATGGCACGCATGTGTGTGAAGACCCAACGGCTGGACGTTGCGAAAGTGTGCCTAGGGAACATGGGTCATGCCCGTGGGGCTCGAGCACTGCGGGAGGCTGAGCAGGAGCCACAGCCAGAGGCCAGAGTGGCCATGCTGGCTACACAGCTGGGCATGCTGGTGAGTGGGACAGACACTGCCCCAGTAGGTGGATGAAGGAAGGTGCATGTTCCTACCACACCCTGAAGCTGATCCTGAAGGAAAAAAATGGCACAGACCTTCTGCTAGGGTTTGGGACAGAGGCTAAGAGAACTTGGGGGCCAGAATATGGGGGCAGAGGCTGGCAAATGGTGGGTAGAAGTGGTTTCTGGGCTTCTCAGTGCTCTGTGCAGCCACAAGGGTGGAGGGGGGCAAGGAGAGGGGACTGTGCCTCTCAGACCAAGGATTTCAAACAGAGACCTCTTAAACTCTAAGCCAGAGGGGATAGGGCCCTGAGGAAATCCTGAGCCATTGATCTCTCTCCACTGATTTGTCAGAGATCACTGCATATGTCTTTTTTAATGAGATCCATAGAGGGTGACACACCTCCAGGAGGCATAGGCTGGCGGCCACAGCATGATCTGGCTTCTTGTCCATGTGGGCAGTGAGGGACAAATACTCCCACCCCAAGGAGGATGGAGCAGTCTGCCACCTCCACATCCAATGTGGACACTCCCCAGATGGCCTCATCTGTGGGGGAAGCACAGGTGTTCCTTGAAGACATGGCAGGGGACAGGGACTCTCATGAGAGATAGATCCAGGTTCTAACAGAGTCAGACCTCCATTTCATAGGTCTCTCTCCAGCCAGGCAACAGGAATGTCATGTAGCTGTGTGGCCCTTGTCTTGAACATCTCAACCTTATACGTGATGTCCACATGCCCCTGAAATGTCTATATATCCTTGGTGTATACTGTGTATCTTTCTTAGGAGTTCGTGGTAGTACCTTCGCAAGTACCATGAGCTTTGAAGCACAGGGGCACCCATGATGGAGTACCTAGTGCCTGTCCCCTTCCCTACTAGAACAGTCTTTCTCCAAAGCCCCATGCCTGTGTTACCATAATGTACCCTTCTCTTTTTAGGAAGATGCAGAGCAACTGTACAAGAAATGTAAGCGTTATGACCTCCTGAACAAGTTCTTCCAGGCCTCTGGCCAATGGCAGAAAGCTGTGGAGGTGGCTGAGCAGTATGACCGTGTGCACCTGCGCACCACCTAC